AGTAATTAAAAGAACCTGTTTGCATAAAAACGTTTACTGAAAAGAGAAAAGTTTTAGATGTCGTCACACTACTGTTCCTTTTTTAAACGCACGTTTGTTTGTGTCGAAATGGTAGCATAAAAATGTTATATATATATATATGGTAAGCAGTGTAATGATTGGCACTTTAAGGCCTTAACAGTGGTTGAAATGCCTAAATCTTGAATATTTAATATTGTTTTGTTGGATTTTAGTTTAGATAGCCATAAATAAAATAACGCATTACATTTAAAAAGAAATGTTTAATTAAAAGTTAAAAATCTAATTAAACTTTTTTCTAGGGAATGTTGCAATCTTTGGCACTTTAGCATAGTAAATGGCACTGTAAATTAAGTATAATCATCAGCACCATTGGAAGTCTTAAAAAGTTATACCCAGATCTTCCTGAGCTCTATGTTATTTTGATTATTTTGGACAAATCTTCTTCAAAAAATTTCCTTAGATCTTCATCTGAAAGCGGTTTCGTTGGTCTACCATGTTTTTTTCTTCCTTATAATTCTAAATTTGCTGCCTAGTTGATGAAAAACATAAGGGTTAGTTATCTTTTTGATACTCAACAATAATCTCTGCAGGTTGCCGCTCTGGTACTGATAAACCATTATTAAGTGATAGGATACAAGGCAAATTTGATGCAGGTATTTCTCTGCCAAGTAATGCATATCAGCTGTCGTATTCTTCGTAAACTTAGAATCAATATCCAACAATACATAAAATAGAAGTCTCGCCTTGACGTCATAACGTCATTTAGGTAATCGAGATTAATGTAAAAAGAATGTATCCATTGGCCCGAAAATCAAACTAATTAATTATTTTTATCAATCAAAGTACGAATGCTAATATTGGGTAATAACAGCGAAAGTAAGCAGTCACAGACTTATTTAACACCAAAGAGAATTAAATATATAGGTATACTGACTACTTAAATGTCTTTGTTTCACATACAATTCTATTACTGCTTACTAAAGACCTTTAAAGGAATTTATCTCCAATGGGTGTAAATGTATCGAACAAGTATTATATATGGCGGATGCCATAAAGTTATGTCGTTTACTGTGGTTCAGCTGCGGATATTTTTATTCCGATTCAGAGAAATTTTAATTTCAAGTCGCAGATCCATATGTCATTACTAGCAATACACCCTTGTATAGTCCGGTTGCCAAGTACAAGCAATTTCGTACAATGACCTTTGTTCCAACTGTCAGTGGTCAAAAACATTTTTAGATGAAGTACAAATATGTAATATATTGTTAAATAATAAAGAGAGAATGACAATAAAAAAAAAGTTGTTGCGATAAGCTAGTTGCGTTGTGCATGTCGTTGCAAGAGAACATTCCAGAAGATGGCCTCTATCAAGTTAATAAAATATGTAGGCATAAAATAAAAAATGTCTATTCTTGGTTTTACATTAAGATACATAAAAAAAGGTACCGTGCAGTGCCGGTGAATAATACTACCCCATATCATCCCGTGGGTATTGTAAGAGGCGACAGAGTGAAAATAATCAGGAGATAATAACGACTAAAATTAAAAAAGAACTATGGAAAATCTACGAGGGAGGCCTGTGTTCAGCAGTCTACTTTGTTAGGCTGTAACCTGTAACGGTAACGGTAACATAACATAAGATAGATAGATTTTAACACGTGGTAGAGCCATGCTGCAGCTATATTAGTAGTATAGTTGTAGCACGAATGGGTCGGCTCGACCGGGGAAGGACCACGCTCGCACAGAATACCAGCGTAAAATAGCAGCTTAATGCTGCTGTGTTTCGTATGGTGAGTGTAGAGAACCGGAGACCCTTTTTACTCGAAAAGAGGCATTCCATCTTAGTCCTCACGGGTGACAACGCATCTGCATTTTGATTCACAAACGAGGATAAATGTAGATGTCTATGGGCCACAGCAACCACTTACCATCAGGTGGACTGTGTGCTCGTTTGTCACCCTATCCTATAAAAAAAGATAGGTATTTGAACATATAGATGACCCAGCGAAGGAGAGTATCAGCAAATCGACAAAGGTATGACATGCATGTATGATATCTCGATGGCATACTTAACTCGTAAGCATATATAGTGTGAGTTACCCCTTATCGTCGCCTATAGGTGTAGGTGATAAATGACACAAAAGTCTATATGAATATTACTGCATTTATTTCCACTTAGTTACAAGTACCTATTCGGTCCGAGGCGAAGGGCTATCTGCCGGTCCAGCGTCGAACCATTATAAAGTATTATAATATTTGCAATATTATAATACTTTATATTAGAAAGTTGTAGAAATTATTTCATATAACATTGCATTATTATTTGCTATGGCAATAAGCCACGAGTAACTTCACCTCTAGCCTCTAGGCTACATATGTCACATTATTTATCTAAAACTTCATATTGCTATAGTTTTCGAGCACAGCTGTCATTATAAATACTTAATATAGCATTGCATAGATTAACTTTCAGATAGTGTCAAATTTATGATATATACAAGTATAATGAGTTGCAAGGGTCTTCCGCAACTATGTACTTGCTTGAACAATTTTGCTAGCGTTTGTAAGTTTTTTGCGTATGCATTATATTCGAACATTTGAAGGTTATCTGTGGTTTTATTTCTTTTTATCAGTTACCTATGAGTGAATAATTTGTACTTGGTAGAGCTATACCGCAGCTATGTTATGGTTGTAGAACGCATGGGTCGGCTCGACCGGGAAGGACCGCGCTCTCGCAGAATAGTAGCGTAAAATAGCAGCTTAATTTTGCTGTGTTTTATGGTGTGTGTAGAGAACCCTAGACCCTTTTTACTGGAAACGGGGGGTTCCATCTTGGTCGTTAGGGGAAACAACACATCTGCATTTTTAATCTTAACCGAGGATAAACTTAGATGTCCATGTACTACAGCATGCACTTAATATTAGATAGATCAATGTAGTAAAAATGAACCTATTCTTCGATAAAAATAAAAGGCCGAGGAAAAAGTTTCTACGTATTTTATATACAAATTCAAGACATTTTGTTTTAGAGTTTAATTACACATAATTATGATAAATTTGTGCCAGTTTGTTTGATAACTTGTTGCCATCTTGTAGGTAGTGACATAATCCCGTTAGTGTAGAAATATTGGTTTTTTTGGTCAAAAAATGCGACAATCCACACCATCCACACCATCTGGATGATTGGCGGTCCACCACTGTGCGATTTAGAATATGTTTTCTTCCTCGCACGATTTCCTTGTGGAATCGATTACCATCAGCGATTTTCCGGACCGATACGACTTAGGGACCTTCAAGAAAAGAGCCTATTCCTTTTTAAAAGTCCGGCAACGCATCTGAAATTCCCCTGATTCCCCTGGTGTTGCAGCTGTTCATGGGTGGCGGTAATCACTTACCATCAGGTGAGCCACATGCTCGTTTGCCCCCTCTCCTATAAAAAAAAAGTAAAAAAAGAGACAAGTAGTTTTGACAGTCCCCTCTTTATGATAACCTAACACTACCCAAAGAATTCTGAAGAGACCGAAATAGATTAAAATCTGAGGGTGCAAGGCCTGGACTATATGGTGGATGCATTAAAACTTCTTAACCAAGCTCTCTAAATTTTTGTTGTGTGGCCAAAGATGTGTGTGGTCTGGCGTTATCATGATGAAAGACTACTCATTTTTATTGATCAATTCCGGCTGCTTTTTCTTAGTTTGTTGCTTTAGTGTCATTAGTTGTTGGCAGTAGAGATTCAAATCGATGGTTTTGCCTGGCGGTAAAAGCTCATAATAAACGATGCCCTTCCAATCCACCATATACCCAGCATCACCTTATTGCGTGTAATGCGGGCTTGACTGTGATTTTTTTGCACGTTCTTCTCGTAGATGATCCACTTTTCATTACCAGTGATCAATATTTTCAAAAAAGGTTCGGTTTCATTACGTTTTAATAGAGAATCGCAAATGAGTAGGTACACGATTCATTACATTTCTTTAATGAGCTCGTGTGGTACCCAAATATCGAGCTTTTTTGTATAGCCAGACTTTTTCAAATGGATGTGGTCAATCCTCGGCAATGTCGTAACTACTAATACTCCTAATCTTGCTCTACATTTTCAAAAATGGCATCGACTTTTGCTGACTGAATGCTGACACTGCATTAGGTCCATAATCGTAACAATTTTTTTTCGCGGCTTGAGTCGCATTTTTCCCCTTTTTTTGTAATAAAACTTCAGAATTTATCGAAATTATTCTTTAGATTCACTCATTTTAGCGCACAGAGTAACAGTTGAAAAATGGCGGGAAAGTGTATTTTACTTTTTCGTTTTCTTTTTCATAATGTCCTATATGTATTTATATTAAAACCAGTCAGATACAAACAGTCCAACCAAAGACATTTTTCTTCAATTTCACACAAACAAAATACGAAGAAACTTTTGTACGCATTGTGGGACTTAAGTCATCGTATTTACCTAAAAAGTGCTATAATTGAATTAAGTAAATGCAGTTTTATTTTCATTTCGTTTTTAATTTTCCGTGAACATATTGTATTATAATGTTGTACCTAGTTTCACTGTAGTTTCTTATAAAAGTAATAAACTTATTCAGATCATTGAATTTTTATAATGATCACGAGGCACAATCGTCTCGTTAGCACCGAAGTTTTCCAGAAGTGCAGAGAGGCGTGCATTCGAAACTTAACGGCCGTTCCGTTGACCGTCACAGCGACGTGAACTCGGGAGAGCCGATTAATTAATAGGCAAATCTAGACTGACGTTTATCAGTCGGCTTGCATACTTCGCAGTGCAATCTCGTTGCGGATAAACGACGTGCAGTTGTTATTAACACTTTGCTCGGTTGTGGTGGGGGCGGTGCGCGTTAGTGCGCGCGCGATGCGTCCGCCGGTGCACACGTGCTCCCGTACCGGTGCGCAGTAATCACAGAGTACTTTTTTATATAGGAAAGCAGTAATCTACCGTCGCTCATAACGAGTACACCATGGACTGGTCGATCCTAGAAGATTGGCCGAGCGTGCCTTTCGACGCATACTATACCTCCTGCGAAAATGAGAAAAACGTGCAGCCGGTGCTCGCGCAGGACGTACCGACGCAGGCGCAACCCTATCTAGCGGATCAAGCATTCACCCTTATGCCATGCCCACCTCCAAATCCGGTGCAGCCGCTACAACCTCCCGCTGAGACCGGCAAATGGTATGTCAAATATATTTATTACAAATTCTATTACTTACTGACATTGTAATACACGTAGGTTTTGCGTAGTACGACCTTGAATATCAAAACATACTCGTCAACAACTATTGGCGTAGTTGCTTTATACAATTAATTACCTAATACAATTAACTACCTATTAATTACTTACTATGTACCATGAAATATTAGTAAACCATCGATTATTTTATATAGAATCACCTAAATTTATATAGACTTCAAATATAATATTTTCATAAATTGTATCATTTTACTTATCCAAATCCCACTTACACATTTGAGATTCGGAAAAACTATCATACTAATATCAAAGGGACTTCGAAATTATTTTAGGTTTGAGTCCATGACCTATCCAACATTTTAAATGTGTATGACGCATACATTTCATCTCATTATAGCATACGTTTTTAATATCTTGTCTAGAAGCTATTGCAGCATTTCACTTTTAAAGTATAAATATATATTCAAATTAATCTCACGTTTTAATATTTAGTTGCGGTCAGAAAATAATTGTTATATTATTACACTCCAAAGCTACTTATTTCAACCGTTCAATCACCATACTCTATCGAAATGAAAAATTAAGTAAAATGTAATAAAGTATATAGTATACCTACCTTAACGCCGTTAAAACAATGTGTGTTAAGTGTTTCCAACTAAAAAAAATTAAACAAAATTTTTAACAGTGGTAGAGCCACGCGGCAGCTTTTGCTGTCGCATGGATGGGCCGGCTCGAACCGGGGTAGTACCACGACCTCTCAGAAAACCAGCGTGAAGTAAAGGTTTACCTTTGCGTTTCGCTTGGTGAGTGCAGGTGGCCGGAGCCCCTTTTTACTGGAAATGAGGCATTCTATCTTAGTCCTCACGGGTGACAACGCATCTACATTTTGATTTGTAATAGAGGATAGATGTAGATGTCTATGGGCCGCAGCAATCACTTACCATCAGGTGGACTGTGTCCTCGTTTGTCACCCTTATCATAAAAAAAACAGTTTTCGTTCAGCAATCACAATAGTAAAAATACTACTAAATAAAACAATTTTCCCCTTTCAACTTTAATAACAAAATACAGTACATATGTTCCGAGAGCTCATGACGCACTTTTCATGAAGTGTTTGATGCATCATGAAACTTTGTTTAAAAGTATCAGTCGACTCAATAAGCAGGTATATGACTATCTGCCTGGCCTACCTGGGTACACCCGGTACTGCGCAAAGAGGTATGTCGCAAAAAAATTACCCAAAAAAAGTGTTTGATTCAAATAATAATAATGACTGCCCGTCAGCTTTTTTTTTATAGGATAAGGGTGACAAACGAGCACACAGTCCACCTGATGGTAAATGGTTGCTGCGGCCCATAGACATCTACATCTATCCTCTATTACAAATCAAAATGTAGATGCGTTGTCACCCGTGAGGACTAACATGGAATGCCTCATTTCCATTAAAAAGGGCCTCCGGCCACCTGCACTCACCAAGCGAAACGCAGAGGTAAACCTCTACTTCACGTTGGTTTTCTGTGAGATCGTGGTACCACCCCGGTTCGAGCCGGCCCATCCGTGCGACAGCAGAAGCTGCCGCGTGGCTCTACCACTCTTTTGATAAAGAATCAAGAAAAGAAATGGCAGACACTTCTGAAGGGGTTTACATAGGGGCAGACTACCCCAAAGTTGTATTTTCAAAATATCCAAAAAAAGTGTTTGATTCAATCTGCCATTTTTACAGCGTGTTTATTTATATAATAAAAAATTCTCACAAAAGGGCAGTCAGTTTCTCCGCGGGGTTAATAATTTAGAAGTTTATACAAATAAATAAAATTAAAGTGTCTGTTTGTAATGTAAAAGTAACTGTTTTTTACTAAACACATATAAAATTTTATACGGTATTTATAACAAAAACACAATTTTTAAAATCTTTGTCTGCCTGTCTGTCTGTTTGTTCCGGCTAATCTCGGAAATAGCTGGACTGATTTTGACGGGACTTTCACTGGCAGTAAGTTTATGTTATAACGAGTAACTTATGCTACTTTTATTTTAGAAAAATTATTAGGGTTCTGCGCAAAACAAAATAAAACCCTAAATTACACGCGGGCGAAGTCGCGGGGAACAGCTAGTATTTAAATAAATCTTGCGTGGACAAGAGACAAATGTGCTACGGGGTGTAATGATTGCGACAGAGAGCGACAGTCGCCGATATGTGAAAAAAGTGTTTGATTCAAATAATAATAATGACTATCTGTCAGCTAAGTTGATAAAGAATTAAGAAAAAAATGGCAGATAAATTAAATTAAAAAGATTAAATTGAATCACACAATTACAATTAAATTTATTATAATGTTATTGTTTTTTCTTGTCACTTGTTTTTTTTTATAGGATAAGGGTGACAAACGAGCACACAATCCACCTGATGGTAAGTGGTTGCTGCGGCCCATAGACATCTACATCTATCCTCTATTACAAATCAAAATGTAGATGCGTTGTCACCCGTGAGGACTAAGATGGAATGCCTCATTTCCGGTAAAAAGGGCCTCCGGCCACCTGCAATCACCAAGCGAAACGCATAGGTAAATCTATACTTCACGCTGGTTTTCTGTGAGGTCGTGGTACCACACCGGTTCGAGCCGGCCAATCCGTGCGACAGCAAAAGCTGCCGCGTGGCTCTACCACTGTTAGAATATCTCTCTACCACTTGTATGGACACAGTCTGAAATAAATTGATTTTATTTTATTTTATTTATTTTTATTTATTGCAATGTAATCCTCATTTAATCTGCCATTTTGCTATAAAAGTGGCAGATTAAATCATACACTTTTTTTGGAATTTTCAAAAATATAATTTTGTGGTAGTTTTTTTTTCATTTTTTGTTAATTCTTTATCGACATTGCTGACGGATAGTCATTATTATTATTTGAATCAAACACTTTTTTCACATATCGGCGACCGTCGCTCTCTGTCGTACTCATTACAACCCGTAGCACATTAAATGTGAGACAACTTTTGTCTCCTGTCCACACAAGATTTATTTAAATACTATCTATTACCCACGACTTCGCCCGCGTGTAATTTAAGGTTTTTTTTGCGCGGAACCCTAATAACTTTTTTAAAATAAAAGTAGCCTAAGTTACTTGTTATAACACTTTTTCAAACACACAAACACGTTTTTTGGATATTTTGAAAATACAACTTTGGGGTAGTCTGCCCCTATGTAAACCCCTTCAGAGCTGTCTGCCATTTTTTTCATAATTCTTTATCAACTTAGCTGACGGACAGTCATTATTATTATTTGAATCACACACTTTTTTTGGATATTTTGAAAATACAACTTTGGGGTAGTCTGCCCCTATGTAAACCCCTTCAGAGCTGTCTGCCATTTTTTTTCTTAATTTTTTATCAATTTAGCTGACGGACAGTCATTATTATTATTTGAATCAAACACTTTTTTTTTGGGCAAACTTTTTTGCGTCATACCGACATTGTATGCGCAGTACCGGGTGTACCCAGTTAGGCCAGGCAGACAGTCATATACCTGGTTATTGAGTCGACTGATACTTTTAAACAAAGCTTCATGATGCATCAAACACTTCATGAAAAATGCGTCATAAGCTCTCGGACCAACACTTGAGATTTTAGTATTTATTTTAAATGTAACTTTTTTCAGCTTATTCATTTTTGCAGATAATTATAAGTACAATACTAAACTAAACCAAACACACACTAAAACCGTGCCCCCAAAACAGTTCAGAGCCACATGCATCCCTATAATGATATCAATTAAAACAATAATAAAAATCAAACTTTCAGACCTAATTAATATGAAGTTACTGTTACTATACTGTGTACTGATACTATTTACATAATATATATAAGATAAGAACAGCAAATACATAACTGCACTTTGGCATGAAAATGAAAGGTACCTATTGTAAATAATCTATTATAATATACATACATATACATAAACACTCACGCCTGTCACCCAGAGGGGTAGGCAGAGATTATGGACTTCCATTTGGCACGATCCTGACACACCTCTCTCGCTTCCTCCACATCCATATACCTACGCATACACGCTCGTCGGTTAAAGGTACTCTTGATTTGGCCCATTTTTAATATATCGCCAATTTGGTCGATAAACTTTCGCCTAGGGCGACCCTTCCCGACTATGCCGTTCACCTCTGCAACATAAATTTGCTTTGTCACTCTTTCCTCATTCATTCTTTCTACATGGCCAAACCACCGAAGCATTCCTTTCTTAATCCTGGTCACAACATCATCTTGCAAACCACACTCTTCTCTTATTAAACAATTTCTCACTCTGTCATTCAGCTTCATCCCTAACATACTCATTATACATATTATAATATATTTTTGTTAATAATCTATTAGGAAAATTCCACTATTACATTTTCGAACAAATTAATTAAATAATTGAATATAATTGAAATTGAGAATTCTAGCATCCTCAACATAATGTATAATTATTAGATGGTGTAGATGTCTATGGGTCACAGCACCCATTTACCATCAGGTAGACTGTGTGCTCGTTTGTTACCGTGCCCTATAAAAAATACGAACTAATTCAGATATATAAAGAAGGTTTGCTTCGTCCTCTGTAATCCGATTACAATTATCTGAGTGTCTTCAAAGCAAGAGTGCATCAATTATATTATATATAAAAATCATTAGAGTGAATAGGCTTATGTTACGCTAAGTTGTTGCAATTTACTATTATAACTTTAACATTGCTTACCGTCAGGTGGGACAGGAGTTAAGTACGGTGTGGAATACTTATAAATCATTAGATATTGTGATGAGAATTTAAATAACGCTTACAAAATATAATCAAAATATATATATTAAACTATATATATATATATATACGTTTCAATAACCAGATACATTAAATTATAAGATTAGTTTATTTTCTAACCCGCCCGCGTGTAATTTAGGCAATTCTTTTTCTAAAATAAATGTAGCCTAAGT